AACATATTTAGATGTTTTGAATCATAGAATCAAATACAAAGAACTGGATATAACAGAATGTTTATTCAAATTTACTGTAGTGGAATTACCAGGAGGTGCTTATTTAAAACTATTGAAAGAAGAGATATCCAACAAAAGCAGTATCTGTCAGATTAAAAATAATGATAATATTTGTTTAGCTAGATCCATAGTAACAGCTTTAAGTATTCAGAATCCTGATCATTTATGTGAAGAATTGAATTATGAAAAATTAACTAAAAATGATATTACATATATTAAAAAAATAATATTATTACAAAAAACATCAGCAGTCAAACTACATGAAATGTATGATATTGCTTTAAATGATGTTAAACAGTTTGAAGATTTTTTTAGATATTCAAATTACTATATTTTGCAGAGAAAATTTTAATCAAATAATATATAGTGGTGAAAATAGACCTGTAGGTGTATATTTATAAAAACAGAAATCACTTTGATGTTATTACTTCTGTTACAGGGTTTTTAGGAAAATATTATTATTGTCATCATTGTAAAGTGAGTTATAATAAAAAAGATATACATAAATGTCCTCTAAAATGCAACAGATGTTTTCTAAAAAATAGTAATTACGAAGGTGAAGAAATATATTGTAATGAATGTTTTAGATATTTTGAAGGTGAAAGATGTTTTAGAAATCATAAAGCTGTGATATGTTATGGAAATGTCCAAAATGCAATAATTTTGTTTCTTAAAAAAAAAACTGCTTTAGGAGGGTTATGTCAAAATATTTGTATTAAAAAAGGTAAAATATGGTGTGTACCATGTAAGTTAGGTGGTGTAATGCACTGTTTAGATATGTGGGATTTGTTTTAATTAATTATGGGCCAAATTTGGTCAAAAGAAAAATAATGAATCCGTTTAAAAGACAGTAACCGTATTTCACTATGTTCATGAATCACTATGACAATAAATAATCACTGTGTCTTTCATTGCATATTACTGGTAAATTGCTAAATGATTAAAATTTTGAACAGTGAGATAGGTGCGAGTTTTAAAAATCGATTGTGTAAAAAAAAACCTGTTTTTACCCTTCAGAATTTAGTGTCATAATATTACAGAGGTTATTGTTTGGCAATTTTATATTATTTAAAATGATAGATGTAACTGCTTCCCCGTTACCATTTTGTAAACAAACTTCCATTCCAGAATTTATTTGTAATTCTTTTTTAAAAATACAGCTGTCATTCATGACATACAATGGCGAAAAAAATCCGATATTTAAAAGTTTATGCATAGCATTGAAAATCAATGAATTTGTTTTCTGATGTTGTTTATTACTTAGTGGTTTTTTTTTTTTTTTTTTTTTTTTTTTGTGTGTGTGTGTGTGTGTGTGTGTGTAAATGTATGTTTTTATAAGCATGTAAAATTTTAACTTTTTAAGTTATACTTTTAACTAATTATCTTTGTGCTGACGTTTTATTACAAATGTATTTCAGTGTCTGTTACTGGAAATACTTCAAATGCACTAATAATCAATTCTGGCATTATGTATTTTTTTCATGTAATGAAAAAGGGAATTTATTTGGACTAACTTTGTGATACAACTAATTGCTAAAGGAATGTTGTTTTAGTATGTTAAATATTGTTAGCAAGTTTACTTAGTTTGGCAAAAACTTAATTTGAAAGTTACTGAGGACAACAGTTCCTATTATATACAAGGTTTCCCATAAATCTTGCGACAAACTTCTGGGAAAGGGCACATCATAAGAATTAAGAATTGCACAGAAACCCATGCCCAGAAATGTCATTGTATGCCACCAGGTGGTGCTGTACAGGAGAGTGCTAGTGGAAAGTGAGGATTGCCTTATTTGACCGGTAGGTACCATACGAAGAGAATGGATAGTTGTACAAACCTACTCCATCAAATGTGTGGCGCAACATGCGATTCTAACATGATGGAGTACCTACTTATTTTGGACTGGATGTTCGAAGCCTTGAACAGATCATTACTGCATCGATGGATTGGCCATGGTAGACCAGTTATCTGGCCCTTAAGCTTGCCCGATTTATCGAGCCTTCATTTCTTTTTGTGGGAAGCCATCAAAAGTGTTGTCTATCACGATCCTATTGTATCTGAAATGGATCTCGTGGTAAGACTCTTCTGTGCAGCTGTTACAAAGAAACTCCTGTTGTGTCAGGCATGTTTGGCAACTGATTGTGCAGTCTTCGAGCATCTGTTGTAACATTCAAGCTGCCGTACACCATTTGTATTCATGTCCAATTAAATGTTTCAAACTCTTTTTTTCTTTTCCCAAGTTCTACCTCTGCTACCACTTACCCCTGACATTTCTGGGCATGGGTTCCTATGCAATTCTTAATCCTAATGATCTGCCCCACCTTCCCCAGAAGTTTGTCGCAACATTTACAGGACACCCTGTATATAATACTTGTAATATTTTGGGAGATTCAAAAGTAAATATTTCCCCTTTGTTATCAAAGTCATATGTAATCAGCAAATTTTTGTGATTTCAAGTGATGCCATAATTAATTTACCCTCAGCGCAGTCAATGCGCATTACACGGCTAAACTGGAATTTTCTTAAAACACATCTGGAAAAATCAGAAAATTTCATTCTGTTTGAGTGGCAACCCTGCTTATGCAGTCAGACGTTGCTAAGCACTGGGCTCAAGGTGAACTGCCAATGGTCACTGATCTTTTTAATTTGTTGGCCTTCATTTTGAGATTTGTTTATATGAATTGTGCTTAGGAAAAACTTTCTATGGTCAGTTTGTTTCACTTAGTGTAAAACAATGCTTTCAGTAAGTTTAGCCATTTGACTGCTAAGGTTGTAGGTAATTAGTGAAAAGGTTTGCAATGACAATTCATCAGAAAAGAAAATTTTTCTCCTTTATTTACATTTGCATTTCTTTGAATATTTTTTGTTACTTGTTAAAAACCGAGAATAAGCTGTCCAACAGGTATAGGGTTGAGCGTCGCTGACAAGTAGTGTCTGTGCAGCATAGGGGCACTCTAAATGTACGGTGAGCCGAAAGTCCAAATAAATTTCATGATATGAGTTGCAGAGTTGCCAACTCTCCCGACTTAGGCGGGCTCTCCCGCCAACCCGATTTACAATATATTTCTCTCGATTCTTTCTTATTAATATTTCTCACGATTTTTATAGAACTTGGCTTAATACTTTGTTATATGAACCAAAAAAAAAAGTGATTTTGGACATCTGAAAGCAACTGAATTTTCTCTAGATTGTATCTAAAACAAAACCTTGTTAATCAGATGAGAATTTCTGCTTTGTGAGTGACAGCATACGTATTCAGAAATATCGTTCCTCAGTTCTCCAATGGCATCGAGCCCACTGGTGTATTGGCATATTAGCCATGAGCACAAAGCAAGCTCAAGGCCGTTATTTGATGTTCTTTCGTTATTTCGTTCATCTTGTCCTGAGTTGTGTGAGTATACGTGCCTTCGGGAAATAGTTTTAGAAATTATCATCGTTTGTTATGTCTGCGAGAAAGGTGAAATACTCGTGCACATTTCAAAAATCGTACACAATTGACTTTCCTTCCATTATTTCCTCAAGGAAATGTAATAAATTTGCGATGTGTACCGTGTGTCGTGATTTTTCGATTTCGCATGGTGGAAGGGCAAATGTTCTCAAACATGTGCGTACACAAAAACACAAGGACAACATGAGTTGTTTTGAAAAAAACGAAAAATTATATTTTTCTTCAGAAACAAAAGACCAAAATGTGATTAATGCAGAATTCTGTTCTCTGCCTTTTTACTGGAGCACAACCTGCCACTAAATGCATCGGATCACGCTGCAGTTTTATGTAGAAAAATATTTCCCGATAGTGAAATCGCTAAGAAATACTCAATGCAAGGACCAAAAACAGGTGCAATGTTAAAGAAATGGGTTTGAAAAATAATCTTCAGTTTGGCATTAAAACAGCTCCATTCTGCCTCTCTACGGATGGAAGCAATAATACCGATTCAAAACTGTATCAATTGTTGTTTTTTTTTAATCCAGAGTCTTCAGAAATTGAGTGCAGTTTACTTTCTGTCCCCACTTTAGGGACATTCGACAGGCTTTAATATAGCACAGCTAATTATTGAAACTTTAAAAGAAAATGCAGTCCCTCTGGATAATTGTAGCACTTGGTGCCGATAATGCACCAGTAATGGTAGGCTTGAAGGACTGGTGTTGCAGCCATCTTAAGAAAGGAAAATTCAGATTTCAGATTATGAGGTGCACCTGTCACCTCTTAATTAGCAGCTGAAAAAGGGCAGCTTCTTACCAATAAATGTGGATGAACACATTGTTGATATTATTATCTTGAAAGGAGTTCTAAAAGAAAGGGAAAACTGAAACAGTTCCAACAGTTGCATAATACTGAAATGAGAAAATTTTGAAACGTGTGTACACGCTAGCTGTCTTTAAAGAAATGCTTATCTAGAATCCTCGATCAATGGAACCCACTTCTTGCATTTTTTAAAGTCCTCACCATGAAATAATGATAGCTGGCCATAAGTTATGCCAAGCATTTTTTAACACACTGTGCTTTATGGCAGAGTGTGTGAACACAGTATCAACAAACAAATTATCAGAAACTAAGCTTTCAAAGCAAGAAATATTTTTTTCGGGGGGGGGGTAAATAATACTCTTCCTCTCTTTATCAGAAAAGTTAAGTAGTAGCTTAATATATGAAATATTAGACCCAATGAAATTGCAAACATGTTCTTTTATTCATTTTTCCTTGTCGATAATATTCACTGATAATATAAACAGATTGATGTTTATTTTGGAAAAACACTTATTATTTTATATGTTAGTATTATGCACTGGCTTTTATGAATTACTTTTTGAAAAATTTTTAATTAGTGTTTTTGAATTTTAGGAGGAAGATGATAAAGATTATTCATCTGAAGAGGAAGATAGTGAAGGCACAGATTCTGACATTTCAGTGGATGAAAAAGATGGACAGGATGAACCAGAATCTGATCATGAAGAAGAGGAAAAAACAAAACGGCAACGACGGGTTGTTACTAAAGCTTATAAAGTAATGTTCATTGTAACAAAATTTGTTTTTTAAACATTTTAAGAACTTGGCTGTTATCTTTTTTTTATCCCAGGTTTTGCTCACTAAAAATGTATGAAATATATATTATCAAGTTAATTACCTTTATTAATAACCATTGGCTACAGAGATATCCTATAAAAAATTGTCTGAATTTGTTAAATATTATCTTTAAAATGTAAATTACAGTACAAAGTCCGTAATCCGGACTCGTCGTGACTTCTGCGATTCCGCATTAGGGGTTTTTCCGGATTATAGATCATCAATTTAAATCTGGTAAGATGGCATGCAAAAATTATACAATTAAAAATATGAAACCGTAATTTATGAAATAAAGAGCAATTATGATCTAAAGAGTATCAAAATGTACAAAAAAAAAAAAGAAGAAGAAGAAGAAGCTTAGTATTTATTTGTTTACTTTGGTAAACATTTCTTTCAATGTAAGTTGTTAAAGTTGCTTCGTTTTTGTGCTAATACTATAAACATTTAATTCTATAAACAGACATAATTTCTAGTTCAATTACTAAGTTCCACTTGTCAAGTCCTGCAATTGCTGTGTCAAGAATACCGACTAACTTGTCAATCGAAATTTTTTCGTTTTCAATAACATTCTCTGTTACTTTCTTCATCGGAAGCGCGTATGGGTAAACGCTTTACTGGTTTTACGCGCATGCATAAGTTTGTGGCTTTGAGGTCCGGATTATAGATCATTCCGGATTGCGGTTTTTGTACTGTATTACTATGCATTTATTTTAAATATTAAAGAAAGCTGCAACTTAAATCATAGTAAAAATAACTGTGAATTTGAACTTTGGTTAAATTGCTGTCAAACAGAGGTTAGAACAGCATGCATGTTATAAAAATTTGGAAAAGATCTGTGCTGAAAAGTAAGCTGAAATTAAATGTGTAACTTTTTTATAAGTAAAAAAAAAATGACTGTGAACATTACAAAAATGATTTTTGTAATAAATCGCACCTGCTTTTTCTCGTGTGGCTCTAAAAACTGAAAATTTAAAAACAAGTAATTGTCATATTAAGGAATCCTGCATAAGGTATTAAATAAATGCTGAGCCTTCATATAATAGAATTTATTCATTGTAGCATATCAAGGTAACCCATCCACTGCATTTGTGATAACATTGTATTGGTTTGAAAACATTCCATTCCCAAGACATGCACACTGTTATCCTGTAACAGGATTTTAATGGGTCAAGGTAATTCATCCATTGTAGCTCTTGTTATACTCTGTTTGATAGGAAAATATCCGACTAGATTTTCGCATTTTGTTACTTCATTCTTCCAAAAAGCATTCCCTTCACAGTGGAAGTAAATAGTCATAGCATAGGCAAGTTTTTCTTGAAAATAGATAGTTGCTATAAATCACAAATGGCAGCCTCCAAGAAATAGCTGTTCTTCAATGTTGATGCAGTACATTAAGATGGCTAATATTTTGCATGCAGTCTCTAAATTGGAATTTTTCTGCTGATTTTCTGTGTGTTGATAGTGTTCTGTAGTTCCTTCATGCGTGGCCTTCACCATTGCCATTCCAGCACTTTAGGGTCAGTTTCTAGTCATTCTTTTTTTTCCATCTCAATGTGTTGACCTGCCCAGTTAATTGGTTAATTCATCTAGATGAGCATTCACTTAATCCACTGGCCCCTCTGAACTTTGGCAGCTCTGATTAGATGGCAGTCTATATGAGTTGCTTGCTGGGCTACCTTAAACTTTATGGTGGACACTAAAGCTCTATTAAATCCTTGACATGTGACATTCGCAGTGCTTTCTATATCTCAGGATCCCGTATGCCATCGTCCATGGTGAGCTCCTACATGTTTCAATAGGCTTTTGTAGGCAAGATTGTAACTGAAGTCTGCTATAGTCTTTTTAACACTTCTTATCAAAGCACAGCTCCAACGTGCTGTAATTCGAAATTTAGCCTCTGGTTTTCGTGAAGAGGTTGAAGAATATCCACTGCGTCTGCTCTCAAAGAAGCAGCGACATGGCAGGTATTAGTCTGGAAATCCCATCCATTTGCATCTGCCACTATAGAGAACTGAGCCTTATAACCTTGCTAGGAGGGCCCATCTTGTAAGTGGGCAGCGTGCGAGGATCCGAGAAGCCATGGGTAGAAATTTAAAACCTTCGGATTGCTTCCTGCTGTCGCTATGAATTTCTTTAAGCTGTCAACTTCTTTGGTGATAACAGAAATTGTAATCGAATTTTCTCTACAATCTGTTAGAAGAGACTCTCTGATTGGTTTTTCAGCAGCAGACTGCCTTCCATAGTTTCAAACTTGTTTTCTGTTATGGAAGTAATTTCTTTTTTCATTTATTTCCTCTTCATCTTTTTCTTGACCTGCTTTCATCTCCTCATTGAAGGCAGCAAATGCTGCCATCAGCTGTCTTTATTGCTTCTCCATTGCTTAAAAATTTATTTTACCCAAAGGGACATTTTACAGTTTTGGAAATTAACACAAAAATACTCATGCAGCTCTTCATGATATCAGAGTCCAATCAGTTGCATTGCCTAACGCATCTAAAACGACAAAGCTTCTACAGAGATATCTCGATATTCCAAACGCTCGCTAAGCTAAACTACTACTCGGAAACTAGTGCTGTCCCAGGTCTTATGTAGTCTTTAGCCAGCCACTGAGAAATCTGTAGTACCTTCCATTTTTCAAATTTACTGGAAGGCATTTACAGTTAAAATTGCAAATATTGACCCATTCACAATATCAATTACACTTATAGAAGGGCCAGACAAAAATGCTGACCAGGTTTGGCGATTTTGTGCCAGTTTAACGAGTGGATTTTGAAGGTAAATAAATTAAACCTTTAAACATGGAATTGTTAGTAAAGAAACTCATCTGTTAGAGCCAATTTTACTAAAACTTTTAAATACTTTGAGTAATTTATTAAATCAGGAAAATTCTAATGAGGTAGAAATTACTAGTTTAAAAAGGATATATGCAGGGCTTTCTAGTTTTGATTCTGAAATAAATGATTTATTAGTCGCAGATTTTGATTTGGAAAAATATGCACATGAGTATTTAATTATTGAAAAATACAATGAGAAGATAGATGGAATTACAGTAAAAAGAGACATTTGTATAAATAGAATTTTAAAACATCAGTGTAACCAGTCAGTTTGTTCCTTTCCTATTCAAGTTAAAAGGAACTGAAATTACCAGAGATCAAATTCGTTAAAATTTATTGGTGAAATTAAAGTGAAGCACTTCGAATCTGCACTGGTGCCTAGAGATGACTCTGTGCTTAAGACATGAGCATCTTTTGCCGTAAACACTATCTTAAAATCATGTCGCAGATCCAGAATCCAATCCTCTTTTTATCCTATAAGCCTGTTTTTCTATTAAACTTGTAATTGCCTTGAATTTATTTGTGGATGTGACTGCAACTTGTTTTTCTTTAAATATCATGTGTCTGGTGCTAATAACCTGTCCAGGTTGTGCACCATAATCATTACCATTACCAGAATCCAATCCGTTTCCATTTACTCAATGATTAGTGCTCCTGTTTATGTCAGATGCACCCATCTTGTATCCTGTCATTTGGTTTAAGAGTTGGCAGCTTGCTAGAACAGTGTAGTATATCTTGTATAAATACACAGCTGCAGAATCCTTTTGAGATTCCACCATGGGAGAACTGTAAAATTCAATTTCTTGATACCTTTCAATACTAGGATAAATCTAGCACAAGTGATGTCATTTGCTGGCAGGTCTTTGCGAAACATAGACATAAATATAGGAATTATATCCCTTTTTGTACAGATGGATTAAAATCTCAATATCACATTGGTGCAGCCTTTGTGGTAGAAAAAACAATTGTGAGGCTTCGATTACATCCAACTTGCTGTGAACTTACTGCAGTTGATCAGGCTTTAACATTTCTCTCAAAACAACATTACAGGAATTTCATTATGTATAGAAATTTCTTGAGTACCCTAACATCATTCAAAGAGCCTACATATCATTCACATCCCATTATTACTAGACATCTGAAGCTTAATCAGACTCTACAATGTTGGGGATATCAGATTCTCTGTTCCTGCATCCCTGGCCAAGCTGGCATAAAAGGGAATGAACTAGTGGACATTACAGCTAAAACTGCTACTACAATGTTTTAATTCCCCGATCCCACTCACAAATATTAGAGTGATGATCAGCTGCAAAATTTTTAATAAATGGCAGAGGCACTGGGATGGTCAACAAACTGAGAAATGTTAAACCCACAACTGAATGCTGGCTGTCTACCATAAATAGAAGGGAGCAAGTTATTTTAACTCAGTTGAGAATAGGTCATTGTCGACTGACTGACAAATATCTGCTAAAAAGTGAAAAAAATTCCTCATTGTGCAAACTGTAATGCAGATCTGGCAGTCCACCACATTTTATTTGAATGTCATAGTTTTAAGTTTTTTTTTTTTTTTTTTTTCCCCAATAGCATTTTAATTGTTTAAAATTAGATTTTAGAAACTTAATCCAGTTTTTAACTCTTTGAGGGTCGGTATATAAAATAATTAAAATTGTGGTAACATTTTGCGCGAATTGTAATTTATGAGTTCTAAGAACACAAAATTAGGATTTTAAAAAAATGTAGAGCGAAATTCTGAATTTTGAGAGTTTGTATATATTTTATACCAGGAGCCCTCGTAAGACTTTTCTTTTTCTCCCAGATAGTTCATTTTTGTTTTTTTAATCTATTTTTGTGTGCTTTTGATGTGCATCTATAGAGATGGGTGCTTCAATATATTTATGCAAGTGTAAAGTTAAAAACTTAAAATTTTGCTAGAAATTTAAAATTTTGGAAATAAAATTTATGTTTACGTAAACATTGATGATGCCACCCAGGTGAACATACTGATGTAAAAAACGGGTAAAAAGCTTTTGAAAGTGATTTAAATTCAATATTATTAGTTTATGAAAAAATTAGCAAATATAACACTGCATGCATAAAGCGTATCATGCTGTAATTGAACTATTACATTGTTACAAGGAGATGTAACTCGGGCAAAAAATTAAAAAATGAAGCACTGTGACTCAGCTGAAAAATAGTGTTCATTTTTGAAGTTATTGTGTTTAATGCTTCAGGTAATGTATAAAAAGGTCATGCTTCATCAAAACTGAAAAAAATAAACAGTTGGCCCCTTTTTTTTCTTCCAAAGATTAATGCTTTGCATCTAAAACTGACCTTAGATATTTTCCCTCTTTTCACCAACTGTGAACACTTATTTCGAAAGCCATGTACTTGCATCCTAACCTGGGGTGAGGAATTTCTCTTGTGTTCCTTAGTTTCTTGTCTGAAATTAACTAAGGTGATACCCTTAAGTATAAAAGCATGCTTTCAAATCATCAGGTTTTCTAATCCACTAAGATACGGACCTAAAGTGCATTTCTATTTCTCATGTTTATGAGCTTTCCTTTTGTGTGATCTTATCACAGCCTCTTCGTGAAGATTGCATGAACCCTGCATGATAAATTAGCTGTCGATCACTTCTTATCATTTTCGCTGCATTCTAGGATTTTGGAAAACTTAGTGATAGGTGTCGTTAGGGGCCCCTACATTTGTGTAACGGTTAAACGGTAGATGTCAATTTTGAAATTGATCAGTCTTTACCCGGGGAAAGAGTGAAGTGGTGAAATTAAAATTTTAGCTAAACAGAGACGAATGAGAAACTCAACAGGAGTAAGCAAAGAATAAAAAGAAACTAAAATACTTATATTCACTCTTAGCACAGGGGTCAGTGAACTCCCAATCCCCCACGAACACACTATTGAATCCTAAACAACTTGTAAATTAATCATAGACAAATTATTACATCACAAACAATTATAGTATAAAGAAATTCTGTCATCTCTCAGAGTAGAGAAGAAGCCTTGTCCTGCCATCTATTGGCATGGTACCCTCAGTGTAGACGCCGGTATATATTATATACTAGTTTTAAAGTCGTATATATAATCTTTTGTTAATTATCACTTCTGACTGAAATGAAGTAAATGTATAAGATTCAGCATGTGTATGTTATATATTTGCTGATTTTGAATGTTTTCTGCCCCTACAATAGAATTTATGAGTCTTCAAACATGATACCTTGAAACAAGGTGTATTAATTTAATAACAGCAAAATATTGAGCTTTCATTGGGTAGTACTCCCATTTAGAATCGCACTAGAAACTTATCACTACAGCTTTTTGTGCAGTAAAAATAGCAATTTTTAGGCGGTTAAAAAATTGATAAACATCCGGTATATAGCCCTTTAAAGGGTTAAAGGATATTGACTTTTATTATAAACTGTAATCTGTTTTTATCTAAACTAAGACATTTGGTAATTGTCCACATGTAACTTCTTAAACATCAAAGAACACTGTTTTTACCCTTTGTTTGGAGAAAAATAACCTCATAAAGTTTTGTGGCAGAAATTACGATAAATCAAATCAAACCATTTCACAGATCTTTTTGTACCTCTGTAGGTGTTAAAATTAAGGCTACAATATTCCTATCGGTTTCTGTGTTGTCTGCCTAGGATACACCATTAAAATTTTGATTGCATATCAGAAAATCCTGATTTCAAATTATTTAATCGCCCAGTGACTATTTTCCCAATTACATCAACTCCAAACAGTATCTTAATATGTAGTTCATCTGATCCAACATCAGATAAAATTATTCCTTCTGTGGCAAGCTGTTCAGTCTGTTGTGAATCGAAACTCGTGATAACCCTGCACCGGCTGATCCAATACTGATAATATGCAACAAAATTTAAAGCTTTCTAATTGTACATCATACATGCTTCTGCAATACTTTCTCAGCCAAAAAGCGCATGCAATAACATTTCTCTCCCAGACAGAGGCAGTTTCAATGTAAGATTGATTCGTACTGTCGTCTTCTACTCTTATGTGTCTTGGTTTTCCTTTGTTATGTGTATGGCAATTTTTAAATATATAATTTTCAAAAAATGACTCCATAGAACTCTTAATATCTCCAGCATTTTTTTAATCCTTTTTGCATACATAATTCTGAACGCAGCAATGCATAATGCTGTGTGTTACATGTTATTCATTTTACAAAACTTTGGCATCATTTTGCCATGTGACCAGCTTTTAACCTTTTGCCTTATGAATTGAGGGATAATTCTGTGTGCCAGTTTCAATGAAAGCTTTTTTCATGGGTCTTGATCAGAAGCAGTTTTATCACAGGCCAAATTTTGTGCAAACTGGTAGACATTAATAGTACTGCGTTTACTAATTAATAAAACCACAGAAGTTGATTATTTTACTTGTATCATTTCACTTTTATTAAATCGTACATTAATGTTTTTATTTCGTACATTATTTTTATGGTTATACAGTCAAAAGTTGTTAATCCGGACTCGTCGGGACTTCGGCTATTCCAGATTATCGATTTTTTCCGGATTTATAGATCATCAGTTTAAATTTGGTAAGATGGCATGCAGAAATTATAAAATTAAAAATATGAAACCGTAATTTATAAAATAAAGAACAATTATGATCTAAAGGGTATCAAAATTTACCAAAAAACAAGCTTAATATTTATTTGTTTACTTTATTAAACATTTCTTTCAATGTAAGTTATTTAAGTTGCTTCGTTTTATGTGATAATACTTTCTCTTTAATTCTATAAACAGACATAATTTCTTCTTCAGTTACAAAGTTTCGCTGTTCAAGTCTTACAATTGCCGTGTCGAGAATACCGACTAATTTGCCAATCGAAATTTTTTCGTTTTCAATAACCTCTGTGTCACTTTCTTCACTATCAGAAGCGAATTATAATGACGAGGAACGTGATTTAAATCATATGAAAGACGGAGTACATCGAGATGAAATACTACATTTAGTAAGGAATTATAAGCCAAATAAAATAAAAACATCTGCTCTGAAGATAAGGATAGTGCTGACAGATCAACTTCTAATACATTGCGTGCGGCGTCATTTCCCTCCCCCTGCAGAGCAGCGTGAAATTGATAAACATATTTCAGAATGATTAGATAATCAAAGGATATGCCTTTATCCATTTTTGCAGCAATTCCACTTTCTGTGTAATAGACTTCGAAACATACTTTCGCTTTGTAGATCCTTTACATATTAGTAAATATATATCGGAAATTCTATTTGACATAATCGAAAGTTCAAGCTTACTTTTATAAAATTGCTCTAACAGTCTGCAAAAAATATAAGCCGGATCCAATTCGAAGATTAAGGAACAACGCAGTCTGCAACATTAACTGAATTAGATAATTTTAGCTTAGCTTATACCGTCCGTTATACATTAAACATATTATGCGCATGCGCAGAAAGTTTGTAGCTTTGAGGTCTGGATTATGGGTGTCCGAATTAACGACTTTTGACTGTATAACAAAAAAGTAAAAATATTCAGTTATTTAAATGTTTTCTGTGTAAAATTTATTGCATGAATCATAATAATTTCTAACCTATAAGTAAAGAATGTATTAGTGAACATTTTATTTAAATGTATTAGGAGGAGTATTGTTTTATATTTTAAATCAATGACAGAAAATTTAAAATACTCCAGCGTGTGGTATTTCTCAAACAACCAGGAAACAAACTTTATCAAGTCTTTGCTGGTTTTTTTATGATGTTGAATCAGTATGTTTTGGGAAAAGATCCCCAGTTTCATCCTTGTAGTCTCTCTGGTGTATCTTCATTGGGTTATCCTTCATAAGCTGTTATAGTTTGATAGTGTAGTTTGCTGTAATAATTTTGTTATGTCTAGTGTATGTTCAGTTTTGCAAATATATTGCACCTATGCCTAACAATAAATGACCAGCTCATACATAGCAACTGTAACAAACAATAACAATAGCGTAAAAACAATCATACATCCGATTCGAGGTTGTTATTTTAGCAGAGAAAGGGATCTTTTGTCTGATACGTGGTTCTCCCTTTTGACTAGAACGAGACATTGTATGTGTGATACATGGCTCTTTCTTTAGCCAGAACAAAACATCATGTCTCTCACATGTTGTTTTAAGGTAAAGGATTAAACAGACCTGGCAGCACCTTTTTCGTATAGCTTCTGATTTCTTTTCTAGTAATGACATGCGCAGCTTTTGCACAGTCCTGGCTGTTATGATTTTTATCACGAAATAGGCACTTTATTTTATATGGTTAGATGATGCAGACAAAAGAGTTAGTTCAAAAGGCATGGCAGTTTCATGTATTTCCCCCCTTAACTTTTAAATGTGATACAAACCCATATTCTGCCATGTAATGCTCTTCTACCTCACTGTGGAAAAATATCGACTCTTCTAACAACTTCTCTTCGAGCGTAACTTGTATAAAGAATGTATTCATTCGCATTATGTATGTTCAGGAAAAAACATCCTTACTCGTATGCATTACATTACATGTGCATGTGCATTGAATAATTTGTAAATTTTAGAACCCAATTAAAAACTTATTATTTTATTAATAAGACATATGCACTTTTTTTATTATTAAGACATGCACACTTTTATTTATGCCAGAATTAAAATGTCGATTTGCAACAGTATGGCTAGAGGAGAAAGTATTAGTAGTCTGAACAATGTGTTTTTTAAACTTTTCTCACTACTACTCATTTTTAGGAGCCTAAGAAAACGAATTTGAAGAAAGAAAGTACTGGAACTAAAACAAAAAAGGTTACATTTCAAGTGGAACCTAAAGTGAAAAAGATTGAACCTAAAGGGGAAGCTAAAATGAAAAAAGCTGAATCTCAAAGGGAGTCTAAGCAGAAAAAGGCTGAATCTGAAGTAGAGGAAGGTATGAATGTTTTCGTTACATACGTTGGTGGATATAAAAGTGTACAAAAGGACTCTTTTTCATATGATGTGCATTTTGCCAATAACTTGTCATAAATATTACAAACTTAAATATAATTTCTAAATTATGCTAGTTAATATTAAAATACAAATGGATAAATGTATTGGTGTTTCATATGTGGGGTAGCAAATTTATTTGGTGGATGGTTGGTGTTTGATTCGGTGTTTCAGACATGTGTGAATGTGGTTTATGAGAAAAAACTAACAGTGGCAGGCCTTCAGTTGTAAATATTATTAATGCATTTTTACATTTAAAAACTTGTTTCAGCATACCATTATGTAACTAAATTTAAGTTAAAGACTTTTATTGTCTTATCAAATCACGAACGTCACTGAATTCCATTAAAGAAAATCAGCCTGAAATTATTCTAATTTATTATTCAGCCAATCCCTTAAAGTAATTTAAAAAAATCCCAAATTTTGAAATAAAGTAGCTTGGTTGATTAGTGTCATACAGGAGTCTGAACTTTTTGTTCATTTTTAATAATAAACTTCTACTCAGTATAACTAAAGGGATGAAGGTAATCATATGAAAAGTTAGTTTTAGTAAATTTTTTTACAATGTTTGTTTTAAGAGTGCTAAAACATCAATATTTGCATCATTTAAAACATTTTTATAGATGAAAATGCAATTCTAAAATCATGGCTTGTAAAATAAAGGCTTCAAAGCCTTTCATGCAAATGATGTATAATTTCTGTATGCAAAAGCTTTTTGTATTAAAAATATTTGCACTTGTACAAAAGCTTTTGTATATTTCTTTGCAAGAAACTTAAAAAAAGGCAAAAACTGAATGACAGAAAGAATAAGACAAAATGTCTTCAAATAAAGTTCAAGACATGGTTAAATTATTTAATGCTGGGGTTTATTATATTTTATTAAATTTCCTAATTCCTAAATTAACTAAATTAACATTTTCTTTTATAGCTTTGAAATAATAGAAAGAGCACTTATGTTCTGACTTAATCACTTTTGTTTTAACCAGAAATTAATTATGTAAAATATTTTATTTATTTTAAACTTGAAGTTAGGATTAATGAAATAATAGGATTATTGAAATGGTCCTTATAAGTAAAAAATTGTTTTATCAAAATTGATACGTTTGAAAGTTGCGTTATCTACAAAAATTTTAATTTATGTTTTCTTTTAATGGGTTATTTGAAAGTAGTATATTTAACTGAAATTGCAAGAATACTCATCATCTTAAAGATATTTATCAAAAAACTGAGTTTTATTGGAGATGAAACTAAAAAGGGGGCAATTGAAATGTCCTAGCAAGATGATAGATGTAATAGAATTAAACTTTTTTGACTGAAGATCCAGAAATGGTACAAGCTGTAGTAAGAAAATAAATATGTTTATGTAAACGTTATGTAGATATACTGAAGAATCAAAACATGATCTCATGTGGATGGCAAATGAACAGTTGGAAATGATACTTAACTGCTGCTCGGAAGGCATCATGCTTGCAATTACTTCTGCATGTGATTAGAAAGGCTGGTGATATAAGCAATTTGGATAGAGGGCAGTTTGTAATGACCTATCAGCTTGGAATGAGTATCTCTGAAATTGCATAACTTGTGGGTAATTTGCAACCTGCCTAAGTGGATGAATGATGGAGAAACCGTGGCATTGTATGTTCATGTGTTAACATAAAAAAAAAGGGTTTCAGAGACTGTCCACTTGGTGAAGCAAAATCAACAGCAGACAATGGTTCAGCCAGTGTATTGCACGTACAAATAGAAGGGTTTTGGAGCACACAGTTCAGACACTGTTGGATATGGGATTATTCAGCAGACATCCCACTCGAGTGCTTCTGTTTATCATGTGTCATCGCCAACTATGCCTATGCTGTGCGTGGAAACACTGACTGGTCATGTATCAATAGGAAGGAGTTGCTCGGTCAGATGAATCATAATTCTTCGTTATGTTGATGGCATGCCAAGGTAAAGCATTTTCCAGGTAAACAGTTGCTTCACCAATATGCATCAAGTCATAGGCATTCCGGTGCTGGTGTTATTATGCTTGATATGCTTTGGAGAACATACTCATGGGTCTATCCAAGATGCTTGGACCTTAGCACTGTGAAAAGGATTAGGATCATGAAAACTGTGGATTATCTCAGCATCATTACGGACCAGTTACATCCTTTTATGTCTTGTTTTCCCAACTGGAAATTCCCACCACTACCCATTAAAATTGCAATACCAGGAAGGAATGATCTGACGAATGTCAAAATCACGTGAAAGGAAGAAGTTGGGATATGCAAATGATTAGTGTTTTGGCGCATTTAGACGATGCAATAGGGAGAAACAACATCAGAAACACTGCATAAAAGAAGAGGTGTGTAGTGTATTTCTCATTTGGAAAGGGCTTTGTAAGGTAGCAGTTTGCTCAGAATATCGTGTTATGCTTCGAACAAGAGGAAATGCTTACCCGCAAGTTTCAAAATTCGATAGAGGCAGGATTGTTGCTTATCGAAAATGTAGATTATCGTTCTGTCATATCGCCAGTTGCACTGGTCAAGATCCAACGGCTGTTATGCGAATATGGAATCAATGGATTGCTGAGGGTCATACTGAATGGCATGCACATTCATGAGATGAAGTGAAAGGGTCACTTCAGTACTTGAAAACAGTATCATCTAGTTTGAATAAATTCAGAACTACCATTATGTTGACAGGGGTGAATACTCTTCACCTTCCCTCGCACAGTGGTTTTAAAATCATAAGTGGTTTAAGCCGAGCTTTATTGCTAGGCAATCGATCTCTCTACATCAGTAAAGCTGGTTTAAGAATGTTGCCTGAATGTTCTAACTTTTCAACTTGGCTTTTGGTATTAGGAGCCAATCAGTTATAATGAAGCAAACATTTGCCGATTGTTTCATGGAGTCAGCTTCTCATTTATGCACATTTCCCTTCCTTTGTTGGCTATGGCTTAAACCTTACTAAACAGTAGTGAATGGACATTGACTTTTTATGCCTGAAATTACAAAGCTTTATGATGACAAAAGTGTCACATGAATGAAACTTTCAGAAACAATATAATCACCTTGAGCCTGTGTCTAGAAATTCAGAGCTAAATATGGACCAACACATTATTAGAGATTTTTGATATTTTGGCCACTTGCTGTAAGTGCTTTGGTTATTTCTGATTTCTCTTAATATATTCGTAAAGTGTGTACTTTATACTGCATTTAATTTCTGTAACCTTGAAACATCTGGAGTTTAATATTGTATGTGATCACATCCGTAATAAATACCATGTTTCCATCCATTGATAAATGTGAGAATTTTCTAAAGGAGGCAGACTACTTTTGATTTGGCTTTGTTTTAGAGGGTGAGGAACATTTCAGCCTTTCAAATTGGTGTAAAATAATTACTCTTAATGCTCTTTTTCCATTGTAATTAAAGGCAGTTTTTAAATCTTTTGTTTATGCTGAGTGCTTATCTGACTTATAAAGAATGGTTCCTGTATGCATAATACTATTAGACACCCAGTCAGAATTTTTTTGTTTTTGCTAAACAAAATTCTGGTCTGAAGTTATATCTTGTCTAAAGCTGAAGGATTCAACATAAATTCATGCTTGCTGGTTTAACTTTTGGATTTTTATGATATTCTTTTATAATGTGAATCTAAAGCTTTTTTGGGGGGTAGATGATCTTCCAAGAAGTTAACGCTCCCATAAGCATTTAGATCTTTCATATGCTTTGTACCACAGACCAATATCTATTTGCTTAAGGTACCAATAGTAGCTGAAAGGATTACACTGCTGGTAACTCAGATTGAGTTCTTATCCCAGCAGACTGGGCTGGCTACATGGGAGTGTATTACTGCCTACTTGTGTTTACCGAAATTCTAGATGGCTTTACTGGTCCAACCTACGGTTAACCCCCTTAACTGCCTTAGGCATATTATATACACCTTGCTCAGCCGATGCGTTAACTGCCCCGGGCATATATATACATCCTTCCAAAATACTATCATTTGCTGCTACCCATAAAATTATTCGCAAAGCTTTGGACTGCAACACCACAATGACCTTGACAAAGTGTGCGAAGGACGATAGTATTTCAGAAAAGTGTGGGGAGAAATTGGAGAGAGGGATGCGTCTAAAGTGGTGAAAGTAATGACTGCGCTGTATTGGCTGGTGTTTGGGAGTAAAACCGGTGGGTTTATATATATATATATTCATATTCTGTGTCCTCCATTTTCATTTGCTTTTTGTAGTAGGTTCCAGGAATAAAAAAAGATAACGGATGTTTCCAACCCATTTATCCTTTTTGAATTAATTTTTGATGAACTGCTCGTGCTTCATATTGTTACTGAAATTAGCCGTTTTGTAGACGAGTATATGAACCAACACCTTGCTAAGAAAAAAATCAAGAACAAAATCGTGGCATTCAACCAGTTCAGAAGAAATGCAGTCAAAAAGTCTTTATTCCGGATTATAGATCATCAGTTAAAATCTGGTAAGATGGCATGTATAAATTATAAGATGAAAACATATGAAACCGTAATTTATGAAACAAAGAGCAATTATGATCTAAAGGGTATAAAAATTTACAAAAAAAAAAAGCTTAATATTTATTTGTTTACTTTATTAAACATTTCTTTCAACGCGCGCATGCGTAAAGCATTCATTACGCATAGTCGAAATTAGAAAATTGCAACCAGAAAACTATTTGATGTGTATTCGTGATATCTATAATGACGAGGAATTTGATTTAAATCATATCAAAGATGGAGTACATCGAGATGAAATACTACATTTAGTAAGGAATTATAAGCGGAATAAAATTAAAAAATCTGCCCTGAAGATGAAGATAGTGCTGACAGATCAACTTCCAGTTGATTGCGCGCTGCGACGTCCCCCCCCCCTGCACAGCAGTGTGAAATTGATAAACAGATTTTGGAATGGTTAGAGAAACAATTGTCATATACAGTTGACTTTTCAATGTCATACTTCTCGCATAATTTTGAGACAGATATGCCTTTATCCATTTTTTGCAGCAATTCCACTTTTTGTTTGATGGACATCGAAACATGCTTTCGCTTTGTAGATCCTTTGGCAGCTCCAGAATTGGAAATTCTTTTTGACATAATTGAAAGTTCAAGCTTACTTTTATAAAATTGCTTTAACAGTCTGCAAAAAATAATAAGCCGCATCCAATTCGAAGATTAAGGAACAACGCAATCTGCAACATTAACTGAAATAGATAATTTTAGCTTACCTTATGCTGTCCGTTATACATTAAACGTGAATGCGTAAACGTATTACGTTCATGCATAAAGATATTTGACACGTGCAGAAAGTTTGTAACTTTGAGGTCAGGATTATAGATCATTCCAGATTATGGACGTTCGGATTAAAGACGTTTGACTGTATATGTTTTTTAGGCATACTGATTGCGGATTTAGAAATTACGACATTTTGAGAATCTGAAGGTTTAATACTTACCGAGCAAATTAAATGTAGGGTTCCTATGGAAGTAAAGGATCATTTTCTCAACCAATGGATGAAATTAAAAACTCCATTATTAGCCATCAGAAAAATTAAACGAGTATGAGAGTGTTAAACAGAGTTTCAAGAGTGTAAATCCTAGAAAACAAGTTCTAAAACTTCAAGAAAGTCATCAAAACGTGAACAAAATGCAAAGTGGTTATCATAATAGACATAATCCTAAAGAAATCTCAAAAGATTTTAATCCTAAACGTATAATTAAGACAGAATGTAGTAATAAAATTCATGAAATTGAATTTGAGAAACAGAGACAACCTTGTGAATGCTGGTCCTCCTTGCATCTTCGACCTCAGTGTGATAAACTCAGGAATTTAGAAACTGTGGCATCCAATGAAACTGTACCTTAAATGAATTTTCCATAAATAGTTTTAAGGATATTATAGCTCCATATACCAGCTTAGGTAAAGTAAATGGCTATAAAATTCCCATACTTAGAGAAACCGGTGAAACTTTGGATTTAATTTGCGAAAAATGTACGTGAACATTCTTCCATGTACACGGGTGAAACCATGTGGATACAAACACCTCTGGAAGGACATCCTGTTCTAAATTACTCAAGCATTTGAGAAGAATAAATAAAATGTTTAAGTCACTTCTCGTAACCCTAGAAATGCCAAGCATCAGCTATGTTAATCACGTGATATTATTATATCCCATGATCCATTTGTTCTTTTATTAATATTAAGCTTCTGTATGTGCTTGTATTAACACTAATGTAGCTATCGCTTATATTGTTTTAGTTGCAGTTCAATAAGTATGTTATTAATGTTTTAATTCTGCATCTTATTATTAATGAATATATTATCGTATCATCCCTCATATCATCACCAAGAATAGTTTCATCAATGTTCCTGTGTTAACTGAGTGCACAAAAGGTAACTTGTATTTTGCTATCGTTATTCTTCGTTGATTATTGAGATTGATATTGTTATACATCCTGAAATTAAAATTTAAACTGTGCATATAATATATAAACTTTCTGAAACTGCTAAGTAAAAATTAATAATGGCACAGTCAAGTCTTAAAGATTGTATGCAAATAACGAAACTTAATTCCAAAAATTACGCTACTTAGAAATTCAAATGCTTTTAATGCGTGATGGGTTAGATGATCTTTATTCTCCCCCACCTCGAAAACGTGATGATGAATTTTTAAAGAGGAATAAACAAGCACGAGGTATAATAAATCTATGCATTAACGACTCTCAGATTATTCATGTTAGAGATGAAACGACTATCGCCGGTACATGGCTGAAATTAAATTCAGTTCACGAGTGCTCCAATTTGAGAAGCAAATTTATCTTCTGAGAAAATTATATTCAAAAAAAATGACAGAACACGTTAATATGATTGCACACATCACTCATATGATAGATTTAATCGAAAGACTGAAAGCTGTCGAGAATATTCCAGATCAGCATGTAGCTGCACTTTTGTTAGTTTCAATTCTCAAATCATACAGTAATCTTATAACCGCCATTGAAGCTAGAGAAAAAACTCTTATAACTACAGATCTTGTAAAAACGAAACTTGCTGACGAGTACAACAGAGAAGACTAGAACAACAAGCAGATCAAAGTTCTAGTTCTTCAACAGCATTTAAATCTGCAATAACTGCAAGAAATTATGATAATAATATTCAAAAGAAATTTTGTACCCTTTGTAAACGCAGTGGTCGTACTCATGAGTGTTATAAATTGGAAAAAAAAAAAAACAATTCTTCTCTTGATAACTCAAAATCAGAAAATCCCGTGACCAAACATGTCGGAAAATTGTATGAAAATTATATCAAAAAGTAATGCCATTACATTACTCCGAACAGACAAGTTAGTTATTCCATCAATTAATTGTTTATTAATAATGTCAACTAAAAATTTAAATTTATTTAGAAAATCAGCTGCTGTAATTGCTTTACCTACCAACTTAGCTAATATAAACTGAAATTGGAATTCTGTGTCTAAAATTTAAAGTTAAAATTTTGGTTCCATAAGTGGGAATTTTCCTTCCATAGCATTGGCTAAGTATAACTTAAAATCATGTACTGTTGTATTATGATGAGTTGCGGGAAGGAGGATAACATCAGCACCTTAGTCTACTAAGAACTGTGGTGCTATGTTCTTGTCCTTCACAAATAAACTGAACTTGCAGCTGTCATTAATATCAGCAACAGGGGAAGCCACTAATCCTGTTGCACTGTGGAATTTTCTAACTTTCACCAAGTATATGGTGAATAACATTTCTAAGGTTGACAGTGATCTCCAAATTTAAAGGGAAAAAATATTTACCTTTCGTATTGAATCACTTTTCCAAATGGCTATGATTTTGAGATGTTATTTTGGTGATAATGTCCCAAGTGTTGATCTAGAACGTTCATTTATTTGTATTGAACTGATTTTATGTTCTTTCTTGCAAATAAAGCATCATTAACATTAGTATTTGGTGAAACAGCATAAATTTCTTTTTCAGATCCCTAGTTCACCCATTTTAGTCAATTTGTCTTAATTTTAATTATTTACAAGAATATTTTTTTATAAAATCAGGCATTTTAGCCAGCCATAAAGATTTTAGTCCTTTTTTAAGAAAATCAACTGTGGCTAGACTTTTCATTTTCTGCGAAAGCTGACTTATAATCTCCTAGTTCTAATCCAGTAACCAGATGCTGAATTCGCTTGTTTTGACTTTCCGTGAAAACATTTAAAAGTCTGTCGCCATAGAATATTTGATTAGGCCTAGTGTCTTTAATAATGTATTTTCAGCACACTTGGATTCAAGCTGAGGATATCAAAAAAATTGAATTTACTTTCTTCAGTGATGATTTTTATTTATTTGAAATCTGGCTCGTAGATCGAACTGGGGAGGGGGGGAACTAAACATTTTTATTAGATGTGAGTTTTTATCTGTTCTGAAATTTTTCAATGAAATTTGAATATTTATTATAAATATTAAACAAAAATCAGTTGTTTAATTATTAATTTTTATTTTTAATAGGAAAGAAAAGAATGCGTGAATCTACTACTAGGAAATCTTTGGAAGTGCAGGAAAGGATTGAAGCTAGAGCTAAACAAAATCAAGATCGCCGTAAGAAAAAGATTCAAGGAAATGTTCTTACTCAAAAAGAACTTTTAGAAGAGGCTAAGTTAACAGAAATAGAGAATTTAAAATCATTAGGTAAAGTGCAGTTACTGAAATTCGAATTCCCTTTTCTTGCTCCATTGAAAGATGAAAATGTAAATTTTGTAATGTTACTGGAGAATTTCTTAATCTAAGTTTTCTTCTAGTTTTGTCTAATTTTGAAAAAACACAATTCACCTGGGGCCATGTATTGATCTGTTGGGTATTATAAAATTAATTCCTTAATGATCAGAATGCATACAAATGTAATTCAGTACTTAGCCTAAGATCCAAACGCTTCAGGACTTGTCAGATTTGAGATTTTCCCCAATATTATCATCAGTTTGAATCAATAGGCTGATATGTAGAAATAGCAAAATCAAAAATATGAAATAATGAAGCATTTATGACCTTAAGGGAATCAAAATTTAACCCCCAAAAGAAAACCTCAATATTAATTTCTTTGTTTTGTGCTTATACTTTCTCTTTAATTCTACACACATAATTTCTAATAATAATCTTCGTAATAATATACGTAATTTCTTGTTCAGGTACAAAATTGCATTTTTCCAGACCTGTCATTGCTACATTGAGAATTCCCACTAAATTGTCAGTCTAATTTTTTTCCCTTCTTGACAGCCTCTATTGCTTTAAATATTGTTATAGATATTATCTGGATTAACAGATTTTGCCATCTGTTGATTGATGATTGTCGTCACAATGAGAACTTCTGTTATCTTTATTATCACAAAATTCCATCCAGTGGAAGCTTCCCGTTTTGTTTGCAGAATGTAAAGTCTTCAGGTTTGCGGATATCATCATAAAGTTTGGCTTGCTTCCACTATACACTATTAGCAATGTATCGTGAGATTGGCGACTAGAGACGTTATTCCATTCAATTTTGTACTACTTCTATCACACACTGATGAAGTTAAGCCTGAATTGTGTTAATTTATTATATTTATGACTGTTTCCCACATATGCTTATCTCCATGTCCTGAATAAATATATTCCCACATACACACTGCACTGCAAATATATATATATGGAGACAGTTCTATATCTCCCATTCTACTGGGCCGATTGACGAAATTCAGCTTGTGATTTTCATGTCTCAAAAGCGCAACATAGGATATGTAAGAGATTTATAAATAGCATTGTTCTAATGTAGGTATTTTGACACAAAATCAGACTTTTTCTGAAATAACATACCAATTTTTTCCATATTTAAATTCTATGACTCAAATTAAGCCAAACTACCAAGCTTTGTAAAAATCGCACCAGTAGTTTTTAAAAAATTAGCTCTCGAACGTTTTTTGCCGCAATGTTAATTGAATTTTATATATATTTATTATCTCTCTCTTTTTTTTTTATTACACTTATTTCATTCTTCCTTTCACAATTCGAAATTGAGGTTCATTCCAAATAAAATTCACCCATTTTTTTATGATTTAATTTTAAAATTTGTATTTTCAAAATTGTCTAAAAAATTAGTTTTTCAAAATTTCTGAAGATATATATGAATTTATATATTTTTGCATTTTCAAATTTGGCATATTTGTTGAAAGCGATAAAACATCAAATGTGGTTTTGACACTTTGCTAAAATTATTCGGAAGTAGGAACAATGGGACTTTTTTCCCGCTCATGCACAATGTAAAAGTGTAAGAACAAGGTGCCCTTTTTTTCACTCCAGCATAATGGAAGGGAAAGGAAAATTGGTTGCCATATATTAAGAAGTTCGCCAAGGGAATTAATTATTCCTGGCGCAAACTGAAAAAAATTGTGCCAACATAAATTTTTGAATTTCTTCATAAATTTCACACCAAATTTTACAAAATTTAATATCTAGGCATAATTTGAGTCTTAGAATTCAAATAATGAAAAAAATGGGTATGTTATTTCAGAAAAAGTCCGATTTTGTGTCAAAATACGTATGTTAGAACAATGCTATATATAAATGTAATATATATCCTAAGTCCCACTTTCGAGACATAAAAAATGCAATTTGAATTTTGTCAATTGGCACGGCAGAATGGGAGATATAGAACTGTCTCCTCCTTTTTTGGCACAGTGTACTTTAGTTTTTTGGGGGGGAGGGTGCTAAACATTTTGCGGAAAGGTGTAGCACTGCCTTTTCACAGGTCTGAAATTTTGCTGCCAAGTGCCTCCCTAAATTCTAAAAAAATTGCATCCCAAGACCTTTCCTAAATTATAAAGATTTTGCTGTTCCTTTATTTATTTCCTCAGTGATTCTCCAAGTTCTAAAAATTTTGCCTTCCTTAAATTCTGCTGTCCTGTGCAGCTGTACCAGCTATGGCAGAATAACAAACCTGTTATTCTTAATTCGAACAGCACTAAATGTAATCTTTTGGGCTATGAGTTCATTTACCAATGTAACTTATGCTCACTTGTCTGACATGGTCAACCTAATGCCACGATAATCCTCGTGGCAAGGAGCGCAACATTATGCCTGTCGTTGGCAGCAGCCTTGAGCAGCTGGCAGTGTGATTTAGCTTAGTTCTGCCAGTTCTATCAGGTGGCAGTGTGATTTTGATGAAGAGCACTGGGGGGGCGAGGTTCGCCCACTTCTCTCCACTTCCACCAGACCACACGAGAGGACTTTCGACTTGCCACATATTTACAGTGCTGCCATGCTGCACCAACACTGTACATTTACAAATATCCATAATTTCTCTGGGATTCGAACCAGGGTCCTTCGGCACGGCATTATCCACTATACAGGTTGGGCAGCTCATTTACCAATAATATATGTACATGACATTTCTGTTAAATTTCTTCTCAGTAGACTCACCAGTTTGCAGTAGACTCCTGTTAGACATTGCTGCGTGAGTCATTTTTTAAGCTGTGGTTTGTTGATAATCGTGCAGTGGCAAAAGCAAAAAATAATAGTGATTCACCAGGTTGGGTGTCACTGCCGAAGTGAAATTATGAATCGGGGCGCTGCATGTTTATTTACCAGGGTTCGTAGCGGTCCTTATAAGTTCTTATATTTGAAAATAAAATATAAAGGCCCTTATAGGTGCTTACTTTTTCTTTAAATCCCTTTTTTTTTTTTTTAGTGCTTATTTTGTGCTCTTAGTGCCCTCCTTTTTTTATGAACGCACTATTTTTTTCTGGTACCAAAGTCAAAACTAAATAAACAACTTTTCTTCCTAATATGGAATGTCAGATGGTGAGTCATACTCCCGGAAATAGATTTTCCCCTTTCTCTGCATTAGCATAACCTTTGGTGTGCACAAAGAGTACAGACAGGTGCCCGTCGTTCTATTGGTCAAAGAAATGCGAAAGCAGTAGAAAATTCCGGTACATTCAGCATTCTTTTCCTCCCACCTAAATACTACACACGTTTGAATTTCTATCAAGATCTTAATAATTTGCATTCTTGTTCCGCTTGGTCAGTTCATATTCGTGTTTATTATGATCGTTATGCTTATATTAGAGCATATGTATGAATATTTATAATAACATAGTTGCAGTAACTGCTGAAGTATAGTAAACTTTCAAAAATGGTTGTGTTTTAACATAGATTATCTTTCTAAGGAATAATATTCGGAATGGCTTAAATAAAGGGAAAGTAATCGAATAGTCAAAATAATTTTGTTTTTGTTTTTTTGCCAATACATTATACAGTACGGAGATTGGTAGGTTCTCCGCAAAATCTCGAATATTGAAACTGTTACAGTTCGCTGCAAAACAAGCAATGGACATTTTTTTTTTTTTTTTTTTTTGTCACTTTCCAATCTGCATTGAATAGGTCTAAAAGTTCTGCAGTCTACCAACCCAAGCGAAAAATGATTCTATTCCGGAAATTTAACGCTTGTCCTGTTGAAAATTAGAATAAAAAACACCCCAGATTGGTAAGTCTCATTCTTTTCCTTTATTTAGTTCTTTATTCTCCCAATACCTGGCAGCTGTTGAATTCCGATTGCGTAATATCATGTAGGGAAGAAATTACAGCGCACGTATTGCGCAATAACGCTTCGCTATATTTTGCGGAGATAATTAAGTTTTGATGTTCGTGTCCGAGATTTGTTTATGAATCACTTTAAAAGAGTTTTACTGTGCCTGCTAAGCAGAATATTTTTCAGTTCCATTGGTTTATTTTTGTATGATGCACATATCGAAATATCAAATGCATTTATTTAGTGGAAAAATTTAAAGAGTGGCTACAGTCTACACCCCCCCCCCCTCCTCTTTTTCAAGTTATGCTCGACTGTCCGATGTCCGAGCATTCGCCAATTTCCAAGTATATGCGGGTTAATTAAGCTTTTACTGTTAAAGGATGACTGCATGAAGCAACTTTCTGTCTTCTGATTTCAGAAATGTTCCTCTTTTTTACTTATATTAATTTGCTTGCAATATCTGTTAAGGGAAAACTGATATACAATGAAAATTTAGAAAATGTTCAGAATTTTGATTTAAATTATTTAAATATCAATATTGAGTGGAAAACTAAATTGTGTTTATTATTAGGTTCCATGTGAATACAATAAATATGCCTTATTATTATTTATTTTCTCTATTTTGAACTGAAATTTCATCATTAAATCTTGTAATATAGTTTAGTCCTGCATAGTTTTTTTTCCTCGCATTGTAAACAGATTCTGTAAATTGAACTGTTATTTAAAATTAAAAAAAAAAAGTAATTATTTTCCATGATTGAGGTTATGCTTATTCTCTCTTAATAAATACTGCATTTCTCATATTTTAAATTACAAGTCTAATTTTTAAGGTTATGCAGTTGTGTATAATGTAATTAGACAGGTGCTTATTTTTTTTTTTTTTTTTTCTTAAAATGGGCTTGAAAAGTGCATATAGGTGCTTTTTTTTTTTTAACTAAAATGTGTCTATGAACCCTGTTTAAGAGTAAATTATCAAATGACCTAATTTAAAGCATAAAAAGAATTTCTAACAAAAAATGTTGCTGGAGTTCATTTCCAATCATTACAGGTGTTGTCTGCATTTCAGAATTTGTACTGTAATGTCACATTTTGTGTTATTATAATACACTTGCCTGTAGAAACATACACAAGAAAAGTTTTAAGGAAGACATGATTCTATTAAAGAATAATTATTATCCAGAATTTAATAATTTTGTAACCTTTCATAGGCTTTGAAATTATTCAATTGTATCCATCTCCAAGTACATTTTTAGTTGTAATTGAATGCTATGCAAAATGTATTTACTTTTTCTTTCTTTAGAACTGTTGTTAATTATTTTTTATACTTTTTATGTATTGAAAGATCTTACTTAATGAGAAAAAAATAAAATATAGAATACAATACTTTTTATGTATTGGATGCTATATTTTATTTTTTTCTCATTAAGTATAAGTACTTTAAAGCAAATCAGATTTTGATGGATGTGTATAATTTTTAAGGCAGACTATGCATTAAATTTAAATTAGTGGTATATCAGTTTTATAAATGCTTGCCTATATCGGTTTTATCAATGCATTCATGTTTTCCTTTACCATCCTTTATTGCTTTCTTGCATGGTTATTTTGCATAAAAATAAGTTTAATTTTTTGAGTAGTTACTTTACAAATGATATTTTCTCATATGCTTAATGTTGCAATAACAAAACTCTGCAGAGTTACCGATTTTTCCATATAGCTGAACATATAGCCTTAATACATACCAATAGCCATAACATAACATAACATTAACATATAGCTTAATACATACTTCCATGTAGCCTTAACACATACCAAAGTAAATTTATCTCAGAGTAGGTTTAGGACATGATGTGCTTATCGAAATTAGAAATAAGTAAAATATATCTTTAAATGTAAAACAATCTTTGTGGTTTATGTGTTACGAGCAATTTAGAATTGCAGAAGACATTTTTTAACACTATTACAAGGGAATCACATTAAAAGCAAATCATCTTGCATACAGAGTGCTGTTTTCTGTCTTCTGTTTCTAGTATGTCACGTCAAATGATAGTTATCTCAAATCTTTTTCTTCTCTCACTCTCTCTTTTTTTTTCCCTCCTTTTTTGTATGATGTGAAATAACTAAGCGTGGAAAATCATTCAATAATATTTAACAATAGACTAATGTACATATTTGCAGTATTAGACTGTCAAAACTGTTTTTCTCATTTTGATGTTCGAGGTTTACCTACTTCTTCCTCTCGTACGTACTATATATTATTTGGCTAACATATTTGAAGTATAATTGTTTTCATTCATAATGTTGTCTTACCTATAATTACTACTGTTTTAAAAGAAACTGTGAGATATAATTGCAGTAAATTAGAATGAATGGTGTGTGTGTATATATTATATTTCAATAATTAAACTTTTTATTTAACCCTTTCCGGCACACTACCTTTTAAAGTTGGAATTTCAACCAAAAAGTATTAGGCAGTCTTATCAGACCTCGAGGGCACATGTAAAATTTTGTAAAAATAGCACCATTTTAATTTTGCTCGCTGAATGAATACAGCTGCGAAAAAAGCGCTAAAGTGGTGCTGGGAAGCATGTAATAGAGTAAAAGGTTTTCCCTACGATTAAAAAAACCCTAGATTCTGATTACCACAGCAGATTTAGCATTACCCAGGGTGCACCATGGAGAGCTCTTCTTGGTTATGTAATGATTACATGTTTGTAAATGAAGGAAAGCTAACTTGGGTATATGATATTTACATTTCATATTTGCACTTTCATCTATTTTTTCCCCATGGTGGTTGCTTTAGAAATGTTCATCTTTCTCCAATCTGTTTGCAAAATAATAAAAAATCGGAAAAAAAGAAACTAATATTAAATCTACAATTAAGGAAATATAAACTATAAAATAAAATTAAATAAGCATCTAAACTCAGAACTCTCAAAATGTAAGGCTGACAAAAAAAACGTCTGTCAACGAACGCAAAAGAAGAAAAAGCGAACTGCTCTAGTGAAAAATCTGAGCTAACTGATAAAATTACCCCCCGACCTTCAGAAAAACACCCCAGCAATTTTTTAGTTTATAACCAAAGCTCCCATCCCAAAAAAATAAGAAAAAAGGCGGGAAATGAAATAGATGTGTTTCTATTGGGAATGAGCTTACCGAAGAAAAAAACTGCAGTGAAACAAAGATACAGTTGTTGGTCTGGTCCTGATGTTTCAGTGATCGCACTTTGGGCACACCAGATGTTTGTCGTTCAATTTTAGGCAAGATTTCAAGGTAAAAATTTTAAACTGATGTAAAATAAAGAGATCATCATACAGCCAAGAAAATATATAAATTTCTTTTCAAACAATTCTTTTTATATCCTAAAAAAAATCCAGAAGCTTTCTTTGGAAAATAAAGGTCTTTAAAAACTAAACATGGCTAAAATGCATGGATTAAGCTGCCATCTGAATAAGGAAGGTTAAAAGTAACCTATAATAGGCTATAAAGCCTTTTCTTTTCAGTGTTTCTGTGTATACAAAGGGAATTTTTTGGGTGTGCCCTGTGCCAGAAAGGGTTAAACCTTATAGTTTTTATGTTTCAAATTAGTATTATGCTTTATGTTCTGTGTGACAGAAATGTTTCAACGCATGGAGCTTGAGAAGAAAAAGAACAAAGCAACCAAGAAGACATGCACTGGGCCTATGATCCGGTACCACTCTGTGGCTATGCCTAGTATTGAAGTTATAGAGGAAACCGATGGGTAATTTCTTTTTACAAAATTCTATATAAATAATTTAATAGTTGTAAAATTTATTTTGAAAGATCAGGTATATAGAATTTTTGTAAAATTTACTGAGCTATTTTATAGAGGAAACAGCTGAAATAAGCTATGCATCATGTACAATTTCCTTTATCTGCCTAGTTAATTAATGAAATTAAATGTACCTTTTGCCGTGTGATAAATTGATTCTCACTAAGAGTTTGGGAATACTTTTAGTAGTTTTAGATGTTCTAACTGCAGGTATTTGCTGCATGTCTTATACGGGTGTCCAAAATTAAGGTGAACAAACCATAATATCCAAGAGAAAAATTGGTTTGTTCTATTTAAATTTTGTACACAGATGCTCAATAATTTCAGACAGCTAATAGTAACACGAGATAGTAAACAAAATAATTATTTTATGATGTGCAAATGGAACTACCATCTCAGATTTCTAGAATGGTGTAATTTTAAGGAGTGAGGCATTTCACACAGCTTTATTTGCTTCACAATCAACTCTCATTATATGAATAAGGTTATAGTGACAAAAAAATCTCATTTTTCAAAAAATGAGGATTTTAATGCCGAGTGTCTTAATACTCCCGTTCACAAGAGCAGATTTGACTGGTGGCGAAAACAAGTTCTTCCAACGTGTACCATTCACACGACGAACAAGCATTAACTGCCTCTCGGAATTGGAGGTAAAAAAAAATCTGGCAGAATGCTGTTACCTCTCTGGAGCAAGGCAAATGGGGAAATTTCCCATACTGCACTAATTGTACTAATTGCGTAGTTAACTTAATTTTAGTAAATAACATGGCTGACGTGCAAGTAACTGCTTGCTGGACTGTCAGCAAAACAATCTCGTTGATAGATATGTGGGAATACAATAGTATTCGAAAAAATTAGATAGAACCGTACAAGTTACGGAAATTTATGAACAGCTACAGACAAAATTATCTAATGCTGGGTATTCCAGAAATGCCTTTCAAATTAAAACTAAACAGATACACGCATATAGGCATCAATGCAACAGAAGGGACTTGGTACCCCTTTGAACTTTCATCTACCTTTTATTCATATTATAAATATCATTTAGCGAGACAAAATGATTTCAAGCTGAAAAAAATTTGCTAGTAATTTCTTTTTAAATTTTTTGAAGAAAAGTTTAACAATTAAAATGTCTGTCTTCTATAATTTCCAATGCTTTTCCCACAGATTTTTTAATTGTATTTATTCCAGTATTCTTAATAGTTTTAAAGATAGATTTTGTAATTAATGAATTAATTTCTGAGGAGAAAATAAAACATTTTTGTGTAAAAACTTTGAAATATGAAAACCAAATAGGATCTCAATCACATTTTGACTTTAAATAATATTTCTTTTCAGTATTTCACAAAACCACTCTTTATTTCTATGAAGTATATAATTTTAAATAAGCAGTAACAATATTAAATTATTTAGTCCATATCTGTATAAGATTTAGGACTTAAAGGATTTAAGGTGGAGTAAAAGGATTTATTGAAAAAATGTGAACTGTAGAACGCAGTTTAAAGAATGTAAACTGTCTGGGGATGTGACATTTAAAGGGCTGTCAAAATTTTGAACAGCCTTTTTTATGCTAATTATTGTTAGATCATTTTGAAATTTCTCTTCAGGGTAGCAAGGGTTATTAAATTTTTTTTAAGCAAAAAATTTAAAAATTGGTAATTTTAGCGTTTTGGGATGGATACGAGTTCTTTTTAAGAATATCTGGAGCCGATGGTAAAATTATTTTCAGGTTTTATGACCAAGTGGATAGAATTTTAGGATTCATAGATATCATGATGAAAACTATCAGGTTCACATTTGTGAGATCATTGCTCGCAGTGGATTATGGGTTAAGGGATGGAAGACGATGTGTATCTGAACAGGTCCTGAAGGCAAAACTGCTTCATATCCCCTTTCTCCTTAATACAGAAGGTGGCTGTGCAAAAGAGCGTTGCATATGAACGAGCCTTAAAAGGTGAAATTGTGCAGTGTCTCTTCCTTAAAACATTTTAATTATACTGTGTAGGATTTAAATATGATGACTTTTTATTTTAACTTGTATAACTTATTATTTACAATTATTTTAACTGTAAAACATGTGATGCACTCATGCACAACCTTTCAAACCATATCTTGATCATTTATAATCCAAAATTTACTTCTGACAGTAGGTTAGGTTGGGTGGGGTTTGTGCAACAAGATGAAGATATTTGACCCAGTACTCCTAGTAAATACATGACATTTTCTACATTTGGAAGTTTATTATAATTAAGTTGCTATTTGTAAATCTACCTCTTTCTTCTCTGATAAGACCTTGTTTTAAAATAGACAAAAATTAACTTAGTTTTAGAAGAAACTGTTATTGTGGTTTATCCACGCCTTATGATTTTTTCAGCATTATTCAGTTTTTGCAGAGTTAGAAGGCCCTTTTTATTTTCTTTTATAAAGCCAGTAAGTTTATGAACAAAACTTAATACACCTGTACTGCAAGCAGTTTTACTGATATTATTTTCTAAAACAAAGGAAGTAGAATTAACACTTAAGTCATCTATGTACGAGGCGTATTTGGAAACTAAGTACCGTTTTGGAAAAAAAAAAAAAAAAAAAAAAAAAAAAAAAAAACAAAAAAAAAAAAAAAAAAAAAAAAAAAAAAAAAAAAAAAAAAAAAAAAAAAAAACAAAAAAAAAAAAAAAAAAAAAAAAAAAAAAAAAAAAAAAAAAAAAAAAAAAAAAAATAAAAAAAAAAAAAAAAAAAAAAAAAAAAAAAAATAGTAAAACAGTTTTTCGAATCCAATTTTATTTTTACATGAAAATACATGTCTTAAACTATTTTTCACCATAGTTTCCGCCAATGATCGAACACTTGTCATAAAGGGTGACCAGTTTTTGTATACCATCGTCAAAGAAACTTCCCGCCAGTTTCGATAACCACGAACGACTCCTTAGCATTTTTCGTGTTATCGTCAGATCCAAAGCGCTTGCCACCAAGCTCGCACTTCATGTGCAGGAACAAGTGATAGTCGGACGGCGCCAAGTCCAGGCTCTACAGCGGATGATCGAACTGCTCCCAATGAAACTGTCGAATTAACGATTAAGTGACACCAGCAGTATGGGGCCGAGCATTGTCATGGAGCAACACAATTCCTTTAATGAGCATTCCTCTTCATTTGTTTTGAATGGCACGCCTTAGTTTTGTTAAAGTCTCACGATATCGTGCCGCATTAATGGTTTCACCTCTGGGAAGAAATTCAGTAAGCAAAACGCCTTTCCTATCCCAGAAGACAGTGCACATGATTTTTTTGTGATGACATTGTCACTTTGAACTTTTTTTTTTTTTTCGGAGAATGAGTGTGTCTCCACTCCATTGATTGTTGTTTCGATTCTGGTGTGAAATGACACACCCAAGTTTCATCAACTGTCACAATTTGGTTTAAAACGTTTTCTCCCTCATCACTGTACCGCGTGAGAAATGTCAGGGCATTACCAAGTCGCTTTGTTTTGTGAACATCAGTGAGCATTTTTGGAACCCATCGGGAACACAGTTTGCGATAATTCAAGCGGTCAGACACAATTTCGAACAAAACAGTACGTGAAATTTGTGGAAATGCCTCTGAAAGAGTTGTCATTGTGAAGTGTCTGTTCTCATGAATTGCTTCATCAACTTTCCTTACCAAATCATCGGTGACAACAGAAGGCCAACCACTCCGAGCCTCAGCGTGGACATTTGTTCGACCTGCATTAAACATTCTTACCCACTTATCGCGTATTCACCGTAAACTTCTGTTACTTGACAATAAATTTCGGCCGGTTTAACATTCCTCGCGTTAAAAATTTTAATCACGGCACGAATCTCACAGTCAGCGGGAGTACTAATTGTCTTAAACATTTTGAATGTGCACAGCAAACTGAAAACACAACATAGAGCAACCAAAATGGCGACAATTGAAAGTCGGTGAACAAGAAAGACTAGTGCGCCTGCGCGGGACGCCTACCACAGCGCAGCGACGGCGCTAGAATGAAACGGTACTTAGTTTCCGAATAGGCTACTTAATAAATTCTTAAGTTTGAGTTCCTTGGTGAATTCTGCATCACCTAGATTAGACAAAATTGTATCACAAGGCTTCACCTCTTTTGTCAAGAATATTAGTACATGCGACCACAAATCATATGAACCTTCACTTCCATAGGATATAAACTCAAATGGGCTGTTACTAGTGCTAACTTGATACCATAGCATTGTGACACAACTTCATGTAGATTTTAACAATCTATTCACGGTTCCCCTTGGAAAAATATATAGGTCTGTGCGTCCACCCAAAGAGATGCCACCCCAAACACAGGCACTGCCTCTTCCGTATGCATCTCTCTCTTTCACGGATGTTTGATGGATGATAACGGGTTCCAGGTTCTCTCCATACGAAATAATGCCTGTTATCGTGTTCTAGACTGAACCTGGACTCATCCGTCATCGTGCCCACTGCAAATGGTCCCTCCTATGGCGTGACTTGAGCAGCACTCAAATGGTTGTTCGCCTCGCATACAAACGACCTTTGTGAAGCCTTCTACGCACAATTAACGCTGACACCAACCTCCCGGTACCTGCAGCAAGGGAGGATCTAAGAAGAGTCGTAGTAGTGGTTCTATTCTTCAGTCCACATAATGTCAAATATCGGTCATCGGCGCTCGTCGTAGCAGTTGGCCGTCCTTGGCTGAACCTCCTAGGTGCCAAATCTGTGATTTGAAATTGCCTCCAAAGTCTATGAACCATAGAAGGACTCCCATTTAGCCATTTGGCCACTTCTGTTCGACTTGACTATCCTGCCTCTAGTCTCCCAATGGCTCTCCATCGTAGTTCTGCACGCAAATGGTGCCTGGAGGTCATTGTTACGAATTGGCTATCTCAGATTTCTGATGTCACTGTCACAGCGAAATATGTGGGCTTGCTCTCAAACTTGGACTTTTATGCTCCTTGCAGGTGACGTATTCCGAGTGCAGCACCACTAATTTGCATATTGGAGTTTCTCAGCTACTCTTACTTAGCAACATATTCGAATATTACACAGTTTGGCTTATTATTGAGGGAGTTATCGCTATTTTTGTGATTTTTCCTTAATTTATGATAACCAGTGTAGTATCAGTTTAAAGATTACAATTATTAAATTTTCTTGTGACGTGTTTATTATTCTAGTATTTCTGATAGTAAAGGCAATGTTCCTTTTTATAAAATTCAAACGGTGAAAGAAAGCCGGAATCAAATTTTTGTTTTATAATATCTTTATTTTTTTCTCTAGCGCTCGGTTTTTACTTGTTACTAAAATGTAATTCCTTGTTCATTTCAGTCATGACAACACTTCAGTAGCTATTGATGGATAAAGTAAAAGATAGTTATTGTAACTAATAATAATTGTTGCCTACATCACCCTCCTACCAGTAGCCAAGTTATGTTACTCTGAAAACATGGTGAGACAGAAGAGACAAATATCTATACAATACACTGATACAAATATATACAAATTGAAATTATGCACAGAAACATAGTTAAGCTTTAAATGAATATGAAAGAGTTTTAATTTCAAGAAAAGCCAATAGCATCATTGAAACGAACAGGAAGTTTTACTTTTCTTCCATCGCGTGTTGATTTTTAGGTTGTTCTAGTTGCTGACTTAGCACTGATGTATGATCATTTTTTTAAGGAGACGATGGTTCATTAGGTTGTAACACATAACCTGTCTTTAATCTATCCACGGAGATATTAAATTGTTTATTTTTAATTGATAGAAGAAAATATTTCGGGGTTCTTTGCAATACCAAAAAGGGGCCTTCATATGGGTGCTCCGAAGGTTTTTTTTACTTTCTCAACCTGCAGAAACACATGCAAACATGCTTAAAAATATTTTGTTTACATTTGGATTGGTAGGGTTTTAAGAGGGCCATCTGATTTCGAGGATTACTTGCAAAATTATCATTAGCTATTGGCAAGTTTGATTCTTCAAAAAATTTAGCAGGTAATAGCTTTGCTATAAACTGTTTTAACTATTGTATATTTACAGTCCTCCTGTAGAGCAGCTCGCAAACCCATAAAAACTATTGGTAATTTTCTGTCCAATAAAGAGAGATATGACATCTAATAGTTTTTTTAAAGTACGGTGTAGACGTTCAATTTTCAATTACTCTGAGGATAGTGAGAAGTTTTATTGTTTACTTTTACACCACATTGCAAGGCCAAATTTTGAAATAGTTCTGAAATAAAAAGTTCCTTTGTCAGTAATAACACAAGAAGGTGCAACAAATTGGGTAATCCAATGTTCATAAAAGGCTCTTGCTATACTTTCTGCAGTGATATTTGATAATGTTACCACTTCCATCCAAGAGGTAAACCGATCAATACACGTAAAACAATATGTGTATTGATTAGAAGGTGAATAAAGCCCAATTAAATCAATGTGCACGACACAAAATCTTTCATCTGGTGCTCGATATTGAGAATATTTCGGTTTTGTATGTTTAGTTAGTTTATTTTTCTGACTGTTGATAAAATATAGGGCCCACTGTTTAACATCTTTTTTTATAAATTGCCAAATGAATCATCTCGTAATTTCTTTAACATTACTGAGGATTCCGAGGTAAGCTAAAAAAAGAATTGTATTAAATATTTTCATCCGAAAGTTTTTAGGTATGAATGGTCTGATGTTGGAAGTGGAGATATCGCAATATAAGTTTTCCTGATGGTAATAGGTGCTGCTTAATATGCATTGATTTGGAATGTTATTTCAATTGTTGCAGTTCATCATCATTAATTTTTGCATCCTTGCATCTGTTAACAGGTCAAAATCAACAACAGGTGAATTGAAGTCCTCAATTCTAGATATCCTCTCTGCAACCACAATGTTTTGACCACTTATATGGCATAGGTTAGTAGAGAATTATAAGAGATATTGTAGCTTTCTAAGTCGTCTGGGAGAGGCTTTGTTATTATTATGTTTAAAATCAAATGTATGTGTTTGAAATGTTTAATGGATAAGTATATACCCAGAAGCTTGCAGTCGTAAGCGCTATAAGTTTTCTGAGCATGATCATTTTGGAAAAAAATGCAGTAGGCTTCCATCCATTTAGTTTTCTTTGTTGAATAACTAAGTCCAATAGCCAAATCAGATGCGTGTGTGAGAAGTGTCAGAGGGTAATCCGAATTGGGGTGGGCCATCAACGCTACTCGAGCAATAATATTCTGTTTGCATTTTCCAAATTTTTTGTGGTCTCATTGGTCCATCGTATTTTGTGTCGATCTTTTATTGTAGATCCTTTCAAAGCTCATAAAGAGCAGCTTGAGTTTCTACGACATTTTTTATGTAATTACTATAGAAATTGATTGTCCCTAAGTAGGAATGAAGTTCATGTATAGTTTCTGGCGATGGATATTCTATGGTAGCTTTAATTTTTTGAGGTAGAGGTTTTGAGCCTTCAGTGGATATTTGATAGCCCAAAAAGTCTATTACAGGGACTCCCGAAACTGATTTGCTAATATTAATTTGGAGACCATATTTATCTAAACGCTGAAAACTTTTAAGATGTAAACAATGTTCTTCCTCACAAGAAGGGGAAATCAACACATCCTTCAAATATGGTAACACAAAGTCTAAGCCATAAAAAACTTCATTGATGAACCTCTGAAAGGTTGCAGGGGCATTTTTGAGACCAAAATTCATTATGTTGAATTGGTAAAGACCAAAAGATGTGATGATGGCAGTTTGTTTCTTCATCCTTCGTCTGCTACTGAAATGTGAAAATATGCTTTAAAAGGGTCGATTTTAGAAAATATGGTGAGTTAAAATATGTTGAAAATCATGAATTCGAGGAATGGTATAACGATCAGGTATAGTTAAATTATTCAGTATTCTATACTCGCCACACCATCTTTCTTTGTTACTATGTGTAAGGGACTTGGCCCATTCTGAACTAGAAGGACTAATGATGCTATTGGCTAGCATGTATTTGAATTCTCTTTTAGCTGTTTTCAACCGTTTAGGGTCTAATTGTCTTGGTTTACAATTTACAGGTTGTCGTTTAGTTACATTTTGATGTTTCACATTATGTTTTACACAAATAAGAAAATTTGGTTGTGTTATATTGGAATATATGGCAAATAAATTGGAATATTAACAAAAGCTGCTCGTTGTATTTACACTTTCATTAATAGAGATGGGTGCAATGTCACCATAAACTGCAAGGTTTATCACACCATCAATTAACCATTTATGCTTTATATCAATTAATAAATTGAACTTATTCAAAAAATCTGCACCTGATGCGGGTTTACTAATTTTTGCGACAAATCAGAATTGAAATTCTATGTGCAAACCAAGATCAAGAATTAAAACTTCTATTCCGAACGTATTGATTTCTGTATTATTTGCAGCATATAATTAATAGTCACTAATAAGTTTGTGTTTCGCAGTACGAGGAATAAGGCTTACCTCTACTCCTCTGTCAACCAGTTGTTTTGTCCGTGATAAATAAGCAGAATCTATGGCAATTTTCTTTATTTACAGTAGCAGAGCCTGCCGCTAATTTTGATTTTCCGGCAGGTTATTTTTCCATGCAGAGTGGGCTTTGCATCTGTCAGGAAAACACTTTTCACGAAAATGGAAATAACAGTATTTGCTATTCAGATTATAACGGTTGTGAGACTTACTTTGATCATAAGAAGATCAACTGCTATATCTTGAGTGAGAACGAGAATTCCTTGTGGCACTCAGTTTTTCTAGTTTATTATCCAAATTTTCAAATTGTTGTCGTAACTTGGGAGTGGCATCTGCTCCTAGAGAAACAGCACTGCTGGCACAGTATAGTTTTTGTTTCAGTTGCATTTTGATGATACAATCAGCCATTAGTGCCAGTTTTTCCATATCTTCATCACAAACGATTAAAATAATGTGTTCACAGAATCCGGCATTTTCTGCAGGAGAAGTGTTTTTAAAACTTTATTTAAAAATGCCATCAGTAGCAAGATTTTTCCTTTTTTTGTAAAAGTTGACTAGGTTTATTGTCTCCAAGTCTGTGCCTGTAAGCCATCTGTGTAGACAGTCATTTTCACTCTTTTTAAAAGTGTTTAGAAGACGTTCTTTAGCAGCAATATATTTTGTTTTGCTATTGTCACTTATGTTCCACAAACTTTCAACAAATTTTGCTTCCAATTCCGAAACTAAGTAGTTGAATTTAGTTTCTTCGGAAGTTACTCCACAAATAGAAAACTGTGCTTCTATTTGGTAAAACCATATTTTCGGCTTTTCAACCCAAAAAGGAGGTATTTTCACACCCATGCTATTTCTTTTGTCTCCGACTCTTCAGGTTTTGCCATCTTTATTTATAATTCCAAGGTTACCAAGGATGATGCCATTTGTTCTTTTTTGTAAAATTTAGATGGCAAAAGAAAGCAAGAATCAATTTTTCGTATTATACCATATTTATTTGTTTTTCTATCGCTCAGTTTTTACTTGTTACTAATAGGTAATTCCTTGTTGATTTCAGTCATGACAACACTTCAGTAACTATCGATGGAGAAAGTGAAAGGAGAGTAGTAATTAGTTAGTAGTAGTTATTGCGACCAATAACAAATGTTGCCTACACATGTTTCTATGTTTATAACATCAATATCAGTCTTATGCTGTCAAAAGTCTCTCATTGAAGCATTTATTGCATATACAGTACAAAATCCGGACTCATCGGGACTTCTGCGATTCCGGATTTGTGATTTCTTCGGATATTAGATTATCAGTTTAAATCTAGTAAGATGGCATGTAGAAGTTATAAAACTAAAAATACGAAATAATGAAGTATTTTTGAT